AGCGTTAGTCACGTTCATTAAGTATGTAACGGGTGGCCGTAGAGTTCGCGGAAACTGGAAACAAGATAAAGGACTTAAGGATTTAAGATTTCGCCGTGCAGGATTCGATTACACGAGCCTCGAGCCTCTCCGGTTTCGCTCGTCTTCGATTCTTTTCTCATTACGCATACGAGAACTCTATTTTCGTTCCTAGTATTCCATACTGTCCCTTATTTGTTTCGTATTTTATGCGCCTAATCAACGCGTATTTGTACCATAAATTGGCGAACGCCTGAAATTCTTTGTACTGGCGTGTTTTATACTGTGATAAATTGACGTTTCAAGGGATTGGTTGAGTAAAGAAAAAACAAAGATAGCATAGAACAAGTATTTATTTAATATCGTCATACACCCTCGATCTCTAGGGAAAATGTTGGTCTAAACCAGCGGAGGGGAAGGTGTTCCCGCCGCTGGGTATGACATTCGAGCCAGCAGGCATTATGCTTAATTCACAGGAGACACTTTTGTACTCTAGAAAGAATAAAACTTTCTCAAATAAATAGTCGGTAAAGCGAGTCGGTTCGTTAATTAACCAATAAAATGAATAATGAGCTCGATTCGAAAGTCGGTTGTCAAAATAATTAATCATGCTTAGCTGCTTCCGATATTGAAAGCAATTGGAAAGTGGCTCCCTCTGCATTGACTACCACCAGTGATTACAGATCCAACAAGATTGGGTCATCAGGGCCGCTGGCGTTGGGAGTGGGGGCTCCAGACGCCCTTGCACACGGCCAAGGAAAAGCCGATACCGGGTGCGACCCCCGGTATCGGCCACATGCTAGGCACCCGAGTTAGGCACCAGTGTGCCAGGCGCGGAGGGCTCCGGAGTAACATGCGTAAGGTCCCAGAGCTCTTTTAGCGCCAGTGCCGGTCGCCGTGGGGTTTTAGTCAGTAGGAATCTGACACTCCTTCGCCGCCCACCCCCAAAGGACGGTGGAGGGTCTTATGCAAGATTTCCTCACGTTAAAAAATAAAAAAAAAAAAATATTTACAGGCATCGATTCAAGTAAATGAAAGTAAACATTGCTGTAAAACGCGTAATCCAGGTTTCTCGCTTTGCAACATTGTGAAATATACTTATTTTATTTCCTGCGTTCATTTAATTTACAGTATTTACCTTTTCAGCTTGTTGAATAAACTCATTAGTGAGTTTCACGATTTGTTCGTTTCCGTTCTTATATTTCGCTAGATTCGGTCAAACCCATCACTATTCCGAACAAGTGAGTTTCACGATTTGTTCGTTTTTCGTTCTTATATTTCGCTAGATTCGGTCAAACCCATTACTAATCCGAACAAGTGAGTTTCACGATTTGTTCGTTTTTCGTTCTTATATTTCGCTAGATTCGGTCAAACCCATCACTACTCCGAACAAGCGAGTTTCTCGATTTGTTCGTTTTTCGTTCTTATATTTCGCTAGTTGTTGCGGGGTCCTTGAAACCCCAGGTAGCATAATATCGGTGTCACCGTTCCGCGGGGTCTCAGACACCCCGAATGCAGTAGTGCCTGTAAGTAAAGACTGCCGTCGGTGCTTCGGGGTCCTTGACACCCCGATGGTATAATATTAATATGCAGAGATACTCGCCGGTGTTTCGGGGTCCTTAGTACCCCAATATTGTATCAGGTCGGTACGTAGAGATGGTGACTGGTGCTTCGGGGTCCTTAGCACCCCGGAAGGTATAGGATCGATATGCAGAGATACTCACCGGCATTTCGGGTTCCTTAAGACCCCAATTTGATATCAGGGCGGTAAGTAGAGATGGTGACTGGTGCTTTGGGGTCCTTAGCACCCCGGATGCTATAATATAGGTATGCAGAGATACTCACCGGTGTTTCGGGTTCCTTAAGACCCCAATTTGATATCAGTGCGGTACGTAGAGATGGTGACGGGTGCTTTGGGGTCCTTAGCACCCCGGATGCTATAATATAGGTATGCAGAGATACTCACCGGTGTTTCGGGTTCCTTAAGACCCCAATATGATATTAGGGCGGTACGTGGAGATGGTGACTGGTGCTTCGGGGTCCTTAGCACCCCGGAAGGTATAGTACAGGTATGCAGAAATATTCACCGGTATTTCGGGTTCCTTAAGACCCCAATATGATATCAGAGCGGTACGTAGAGATGGTGACTGGTGCTTCGGGGTCCTTAGCACCCCGGATGGTATAATATGGGTATACAGAGATACTCACCGGTATTTCGGGTTCCTTAAGACCCCAATTTGATATCAGGGCGGTACGTAGAGATGGTGGCGGGTGCTTTGGGGTCCTTAGCACCCCGGATGGTATAATATGGGTATGCAGAGATACTCACCGGTATTTCGGGTTCCTTAAGACCCCAATTTGATATCAGGGCGGTACGTAGAGATGGTGGCGGGTGCTTTGGGGTCCTTAGCACCCCGGATGGTATAATATGGGTATGCAGAGATACTCACCGGTATTTCGGGTTCCTTAAGACCCCAATTTGATATCAGGGCGGTACGTAGAGATGGTGGCGGGTGCTTTGGGGTCCTTAGCACCCCGGATGGTATAATATGGGTATGCAGAGATATTCACCGGTATTTCGGGTTCCTTAAGACCCCAATATGATATCAGGGCGGTACGCAAAGGGCGTTATTGGCGCCGCGGGGTCCCTAACAGCCCAGGATGAATTCAGGACCGTATGAAGAGGGCACAACCAGTTTAATAAATGTCATTTAATTTTTTCCAGAGTTTATTTAATTTATTTCTTTTATTTTTTTTCGCTTATTAAATAAGCTCATCGAAGGGGAATAACATTTATGATTATATCCCTCTTCTACGTCTTAACCGAGGACCCCATTTATTTTATTTTTTCTAGTTATGTATATAATTTTATCCCCCATTATAGGCCAAGGCCATCTTTGCATCCCTTACATCCCTGCATACCTGAGATTCCAGCAAACCCTTAAACCCCCATTTTTTTTTTTTTTTTTTTTTAACGTGGTGGAAATCTTCAGAAAGACACCTCCCGCCCCCCTGGGGAGGGGCCGGGGGTAGTGTGGGATTTTTACCCACTAAAACCACCACGGTGACCTGTACAGGGGCTGTATTGAGGGCCCTCTGTCCCTTCGCAATGCGCCAAACTCCGCCGACATCGGGGGCCACACCCGATGCGGCACTACTCGGGCCGCGTGCAGTGGGGACCGGGGCCCCAGCCCCGGACCCCTGCGACATCCTTTACATCCCTCGTTTAGTTAGATCTCTACATCCCTTGTATCATTACATTCTTTTCATCCCTACATTCTATTCATCCCTACATTCGTTTCACCCCTACATTCGTTTCATCCCTACATTGTATTCATCCCTACATTCGTTTCATCTCTACATTCGTTTCATCCCTACATTCGTTTCATCCCTACATTCGTTTCACCCCGACATTTGTTTCATCCCTACATTCTATTCATCCCTACATCCCTTTCATCCCTAAATCCCTTTCATCCCTACATCCCGTTCATCCCTACATCCCGTTCATCCTTACATCCCTTTCATCAGTAAGTTAATCTTTCGCCATAAATTTTGCAAAATTTAGTTCCTTTTTTCGCCACCAGAGGGCACTGATTCGACTTCGAAATTTTAGTTCAAATTTTTGCCGCTAGAGGGCCAAAAACTGAGCATGATTTAGTTCCTTTTTCCAAAACCAGATGGCGCTGATTCAACATCGAAATTTTAGTTCAAATTTTTGCCGCTAGGGGGCGCTTTATTTTCGAGATTTTTCGCGAAAATCTCGAAAAACAGCGCCCCCTAGCGGCCAAATTTGGAACTAAAATTTTCGAAATTTTTTTAGTTCGAATTTTTGCCGCTAGGGGGCGCTGTTTTTTCGAGATTTTCGCGAAAAGCTCAGAAAGATAGCGCCCCCTAGCGGCAAAAATTCGAACTAAAAAAATTTCGGAAATTTTAGTTCCAAATTTGGCCGCTAGGGGGCGCTGTTTTTTCGAGATTTTCGCGAAAAATCTCGAAAATAAAGCGCCCCCTAGCGGCAAAAATTTGAACTAAAATTTCGATGTCCGATCAGCGCCCTCTGGCGGCGAAAAAAGGAACTAAATTTTGAATGATTTTACATAAAAATGTCGCGAATGTGTGAAGGATGCAGGGATGTAAGGGATACAGAGATATAAAGGATGTAGGGATGTAAGGGATGAAGGGATGAAAAGAATGTAGGGATGAAAAGAATGTAGGGATGAAGAGAATGTAGGGATGAAAAGAATGAAGGGATGAAAAGAACGTAGGGATGAAAAAAATGCAGGGATGTGAGGGATGCAAGATGTAAGGAATGTAGGGATGTAATGGATGAAGAGATAAAAAGAATGTAGGGATGAAAAGAATGTAGGGATAAAAAGAATGTAGGGATGAAGAGAATGTAGTGATGAAAAGAATGAAGGGATGAATAGAATGTAGGGATGAAAAGAATGTAGGGATGAAAAGAATGTAGGGATGAAAAGATTGTTGGGATGAACCAAATGTAGGGATGAAGAGAATGTAGGGATGAAAAGAATGAAGGGATGAAAAGAATGTAGGAATGAAAAGAATGTAGGAATAAAAATATGTAGGCATGAAAAAATGTAGGAATAAGAAGAGTGCAGGGATGAAAAGGGATATAAGGCATGTAGAGATGTTAGGGGTGCAAGAGTGTAGGGAATAGAGGAATGTAAGAAATAAACGAAGGTAAGCGTTAAAGGAATATGAAGTATAGAGGGGTTGAAGAAATAGAGGGGCGTAAGGGATGTAGTGGCTTTTACGACAGGCAGGGGATACCATAGCCATATTCTAAGCCCCCGAGCCACGGGGGGTTGACTAATAATGAGAAATGGAATATAGTTTTTGATATCGAAACAATCTGCTATTACCATCAAAGTGCGTTAGACTGCTGCATTGCAAAGTATTTTTATACTAGGATAAAGCAGATGGCGTTCGTTTTCAAGGCGCATATTCTAAATCCTGTCCAGTATTGTTGGATCTATAGCAATCTATAGTCATTGCGCAACGTTACTCGTTTATAAGCTGGCCTATGCCAACTACTATAGTTGCAAATCCGAAGAAATGGCGACTCGTCTGCTTAAAGTTAGCTCCGCTTTGCGGACGTGCACTAATAAAACCAGCCTTGTAAAGGTAATGAAATAGAAATTTTATATTACAAATCTCATTGTCAAAGTAGGCTAAAATGATTTTTTTAAAGTTGTATGTAAATTAAGGTAACTTTATCGAAACCCAAAATCCCATTGACTCCGTCTACTCCTTACGTAATAAGACTAAGTTGTTTAAAACTTTATAAAAGCAAATGCAAAATGGTTAAATTATTATTAATCTACAACAAGCAGAATTCAATAAATTTAATTGTATGATGTATTGGAATTGGCATAACCTTAGTATGTATAAACGTTTACTGAGCAGTAATGTTACTAGTAAATCGTTTGACAGATAGAATGCACTTTATGGTTTTGTTTTAGGTACAAAAGCAATGGCAATCTACAGCATCATCTTTAAAGGAGATACTTATCAATCAACCTGCAACAAAAGTTACAACTTTAGACTGCGGTATGAGAGTAGCCAGTGAAGATAGTGGATCTCCAACAGCCACTGTTGGGATATGGATTGATGCTGGCAGTCGTTTTGAAACTGATGAAACCAATGGAGTTGCTCATTTTATGGAACACATGGCTTTCAAAGTAATTGATATTTTCAATATATTTAATAATAAATCAGATGTTTTAGTTACAAAGCAGAATTATTAATAGGGAACTTCAAAACGCTCTCAAACTGACCTAGAGTTGGAAATAGAAAACATGGGAGCTCAGTTGAATGCTTACACAAGCAGAGAACAAACAATATTTTATGCTAGATCTTTGGCAGAAGATATTCCAAAGACCATTGAAATTTTGAGTGACATCATTCAGAATTCAAAACTGGGTGAAAGTGAAATTGAAAGAGAACGTGGTGTTATTTTAAGAGAAATGCAGGAGGTTGAAACAAATCTGCAAGAAGTTGTTCTTGATCATTTACATGCAAGCGCATATCAAGGCACACCTTTGGGAAGAACAATTCTTGGTCCAACTCAGAATATTAAAAGTATTACACGAAAAGATCTTCTTGAGTATGTTAGGACACACTATGGTCCACCTAGGTATGTAATTACAACTTGCAATGATCCACGAACTATTTTATTTATGTTAAATTTTTCTCTTAGGTTTGTTTTAGCTGGTGCAGGTGGTGTAGATCATAATGCTCTGGTAGATCTGGCTCAGAAACATTTTGGTCAAATGAAAGGACCGGTCTATGATGAAATTCCACCTCCCCTTGTACCGTGTCGTTACACGGGATCTGAAATAAGAGTTCGCGATGATAATATTCCCCATGCACATATTGCCATTGCTGTTGAAGGTGCTGCATGGTCTGATGCTGATACCATTCCTCTTATGGTTGCCAATACTCTTATGGGAGCATGGGATCGCAGCCAAGGAGGAGGTTTAAATAATGCGAGCTATTTGGCTCAAGCTGCTGCAGCTGGGCTAGCCCACAGTTTTCTAAGTTTTAATACTTGCTACAAAGTTCGTATTACCTTATAAATATATATATTTTTTTAAGTTATTATATACTAATCATTTTTTCTATATAGGACACAGGACTTTGGGGTGTATATTTCGTTTGCGATCCCATGTCAATAGAGGATTTTTTACACTGTATACAAACTGAATGGATGAAATTATGTATATCAGTTACAGAGAAAGAAGTAGAACGCGCAAAAAATAGTCTTAAAACAAATATGCTTCTTCAGTTGGATGGAACTAGTGCAATTTGTGAAGACATTGGCCGACAGATGCTTTGTTACAATCGACGTATACCTCTTCATGAACTTGAAGCTAGAATAGATGTAAGTACTTCGTCGAAATAAAATTTTCGATTTATAATGTACACTTTTCATCTAAATAAAATTTTTTACAGGGCGTAACTGCTTCAAATATTCATGATGTTTGCATGAAATACATTTACGATCAGTGTCCAGTTGTTGCAGCCGTTGGACCAGTAGAAAATCTACCCGATTATACCCTAATTCGTGCCGGCATGTACAGATTGCGAGTATAAATATATTTCTTCAAAAAAATTTAGGGCGAGTCGCCAACAGCATCACTAGCTAAAATTAATATTCATGATTATTAAATCTATAATATATAAAACAAACCATTCTTCAGTTTTTAATACTCCATAGTCTCATCTAAATCCCAACAAATTTATGGCCATGTATTATCTGGCTTCAGTAAAACAATAAATTTAATTTAATACAATGTATTCCTTTGATTTATTGTTATGTCAACAGAATAAATTTATTTAAGAAATAAAATTATTTAAATCAATTTCTTTGGTATTCATTTATTTCAAATTATTTATTAATTGCGAATAATAAATAATTTTTTATAACGGGCTTATTACTTTGTACTTGTTGAATAGTTAGTGGTATTCTATTTATCTCGTTGTATTGTTACATCTCATACAAATGACATTACATAAGCATTTGAATAGTAAAAAATTATTTATACAATTATGAATTTTTATGAAATGATTCTATAAACAATGCATCATTTTTTCATGACATATAATGTACAAAACCGAGTATAGTAGACTTCCTCGGGGAATGTGACGATTCCCCGTAGCGTACTTCTCACCTCATCGGTGTTCCCGAGAGAAATGGTGATGCTTGGGAGGCGCCGCTATTTATACATATAGGTCTGTCCACCCCCACCACCTGAATATGGACGATTCCGCGGGAGAGTTTGAATTGATATCTATGTTAACGCCATTTTCTCTAAGGAAGCCTACTTCGATTGAGAGTGTGTAATGGTAAATGTAACTACTAATATGTAATTTTAAGAAAGAATATAGAAAATTATTTCGAGATATCTACATACAAAACATAATTATTGATTACTTTTTACTATACATTCATAAAAATGTGGATATTGTAAAACATATACAATTTTCGAAAGAATCGTAATATATTAATCCTTAAGTTTTTAATTACATCAATTCAATGATGTTAATGCACACAGAAATAAATGCACAATTTATTTCCTGTATAATACGATTAACTAGAAAGAGATATACTTACATTAATAATTCATCCCTAAACGGGAAAATTATTTTTACGATTAGTGCAATAATGGAAAGATGTAAGCACTATATGTAATGAAGTTTCCAATGCAATTTTTACTGAATTTCTAGATATAAAATAATAATAATTTGTGGCAGTATGACAGAAAACAATTTTTCAGTATTTTTCCATAATATAATACAGAGGTATACCTTGAGTTCTATACTTACATTAAAAGAGGATTTACTTTAACTAATTTCGATTTCATTATTATGCCTTTAACAAGTTTAACCACTATCTAGCATTATTTGATGGTGCTGTGGTTTGTGTTGGTGATGCAGTATCCTTACAAACCTTAGAAGTCATTTCAGCCAATGGTTCCAATTCTTTTGTATTTACTAATTCAAATTCTGTTACAAAATAGTAAAAATGTTTGTAACATGTATTTACATGTGCCTCCTGAAATATAAAAATATCTTTAACTATATCAATATAAAAATGAGATATTATTTTATCAAATACACACAAATCTAAAACTTACTGCTCCTATGGCAACAATACGATCAAAATGATGTATGTAAACATGGACAAAAACCCTAAACAAGCGTGTCAAAATTTTTCTACACAATGGTACAAATGTTTTTGGGAATGGAACATCTATAATAAAATTTTAAAATAAATGATTTAACAAATAAATTGTTATCTAAGCTTCCATAGTTTTATACCTGTTGAAACAGGAAATATAGTTTCATTATTAATTTGTGCTTCTATCCAATCCATGAGAAGACTAACATATTGTGGTGCTGGTAATGCAGTAGGTTTTTTATATTTTTCACCATCTGCCCATAAATATTCAAATCGAGCCCCACCGCTCATAGTAGGACAAGATGCAGAATCACAATATTCAGAAACAGTACCATATATTAGATTTATTCTATTAAAAAAATCTACCACTGAAATTATATTAAATAACATAGAACAGTTATATTTCTTAAGCTAAATTCTTTGGTAGATAGTTAACAATTTTTAATACCATGCACAGCAATCCAATCGTTCAAGTCCTCTCCAGGAGGTAATTTTACAACAGATCTTAAATTAATTCCAGAATTCAATGAAGCTTGTGCTTGTTTATGCAAAGAATATCGCAATGTTCCATGGGCAAATCGCTTTTTTGGTCTGAATGTCTATAATAGGAATTGAACATTAAAACAATGGGGAAACTATCATGTTATGTTACAATTTTATAAAGTGGATATATCATTTAAAACAATGAACTAACAAGAAATTTATTTTAAAAACATAAAACTCTGAAAATCAAACGTAACGTGTTATATTTATATAAGTACAAAGATCGGTAAATAGTATCTCGTACGAGGTTAGGTGTTTTGTTATATTACAAACGAATGTAATATAAATAACAAGTAATATCTACCTTTCCTTTTTGAAAAAACTCCATAAAACCACTTAACGCGGTCATCGTGAACAAGATTATGCAAAATACGTATTTATTACACGAATATCGGAGTAATATAAATTTACCCAATACTCAGTATATTCGTACATGTGCTGACCAGAATTCTGTACCGTATATATGTATAAATCCTTATTGGATTTTCTCATTTTGTATTTATTGATAAATTTTGTAATAAAATTAATATTAAACAAATACTTTTCATTAATGTATTATAACTACTAGAAGTAATAACTGGCGTGATAACCGAAATTCCAGAAACGTAATATGAAACTAAACACGCAAACAAAATTATCACAAAAAATATATCAAAAATGTATATAAATATACATTTTTAATAAAAATGATTATACACCTAAATTAGAAGAAAATCGTTAAAATTTTTATACAGATATTTTATTACATAAACAGGTAGTTTGATGCACAAAAGTAAAAAACTAAATGTTACCCTGGGCATCATTACCATTCGTGTCTTTCTCCTGAAATAGATCTTATTTTTATATAACAATATTTGTACATACGTATATTAATTAGATTGTAATTTTGTGCATGTGTGTATACTACTACAAACTTGTATTTCAATTAGTCTTGCTGTTTAACTGTTATTGGAACAATGCTATCAACAATTGAATTTTCGCATTACAAACTTATTACAAATAAATACAATGTGTCATTTACTTTCAGCTGTAATTAATGTTCAATAAACATTACATTTTCCTTACGTAATGCCTTTATCACTCAAATATTTTACATTTTATTACACAATAGCATTCTTATGTAATCAATACATGTAGTAGCTAACTCTCTGTTTATGTAGTTTAATATTAATAAAATTATTTATAAATATACATCTCTTTTCAATCTTGATCATAGAAGTACATATTTATTATTATAAAGCAAAATAAAAGTGATCAGTAATTTGTACACTATAATTCTGTAATAGCAATGAACACTCAGACAGATGGAATGATTCCTTATGGTATTATATTTTGGAATTGAGTTTTATTCAAATAAAAAATGAATATTCCTGTCATATTTCACTGTTAATCATGATAATAGTATTGTCACGTGTAATTTCAGAAGAAAAGAAACATTTTCTACATTAATTAGGAATTTACATGAAAAATATCGTTTTTGTGACCAGCACAGTTATCTTGCAATTAATAGATCAATGTATTGATGCCATTAAATGCATCACAGTCTTCATCATTCAGGATCTGCTTTAGTCATAGATGCAAACATTAATGTTTTTTTTTTTGCTTTTAATCAAATATTATAAATAGTAAAACTCACGTATGCAGCAGCAATTAAGAAATACCTTGATACATACCTGATATCATTGCAAACATTTTTTACTATACAACTTCACTTGTAAAACAAAGATATACAATGTCATAGCATAGAGGTAGAAACATAATGTGGAGATGAAAGTGCAATATCTCTCCTGATTAATACCCAATAAAAACACTGTATTCATAATTACATACACCGTACGGTAATCACAGCTGTTTAGAGCCTTCCGCTTTTTTGGCCGGTGGTGGCACTCCAGGGGCTATTGGAGGATTTCTAACCGGGTCGGAAGTGGAATTACTTTTAAGAACCGCGGCTGACCTTTCTTTTTCCGTTTCGGATGAAGATGTGCCAACACTTTTCTTAGAATCTGCAACATTTTCATCTAATTCCTCTTTACCATAACCTTTTTCAGTCGTTACAGGCGTAGCAGGAACCGGAGATTTAGGCGCAACATATTTTGTTGCAGTACATTCTCCATCTTTAAGTTTTTCACTTGTTTCCTTTTGTAATGTTTTTTGTATTTGATCGTCTGATTCTAAAATTTCTTCCTTATCAATTAATTCAAGTAATTCATCTACTTGTTTTTTGCTCAATTTAATATCCTCCTTTCCAATTAGTTCTAACACCTATAAATTAAATATATAATGGTATATAAATTTTGTTTACCCCTTTATTTATTAAATACCATGTATTACCTTAAGGACGTCTTCGACTCTTATAGCACCATCTCTATCGTCATCGATTTTTGCTAAGATTTCAGTTATACGTTGTAATCGATGTTGATCCGGTACATTCTGAATTTTCCTAATAGCTGAAATTAATTCCTCTATTTTAACTAATTCTTCAATGGTTTTAGAACTTGTGCCTTTTTCTTCATCAACATTTTCTTTCTTTTCGGACTGTTTGATTTGTTTTTTCGACTCAAGTTCTGATACAACTTCATCCATCTTATGAATCATTTTATTCACTTGTTTAAATAATCGTATAGCACCCTTGGATACTTTAATATTTTCTATATCCTTTTGACCCTTTGCAGCCGCTTTAATTTCGTAAAACTCTTTAAGATCTTCTTGATAATCGGCCATTTCTTCTTTCAGTTCTTTTAGTTCTCCTTTTTCAACTATATGCTTCTTATCCTTGATAAAATCAGAGATAAACTTTACCTTTAAAATAAACAAATAACTACTGATCTTCTAACCGTTCACTAAAATACTACTTTTACAAACCTCTCCAAGAGAATCTAATGCCTGTTCTATTACTTTCACATCCGTTTTCGTAATCTCATCAGTTTTGTGTTCTTGATGAACAGCAGGTTGCGGTTCTTTTTCTTGTCGTTCCTCTTCAATCTTACGTTCTTCCATCTTTATAATTTCAATATTCGTCTTATGATCCATTTTACCCTCCTTCTCTCCTATTGCACACTGAGTACGCGCAACGACCGTATCGGGAAGAGCTGATATAGTAGCCTTTAATTTGTCTGACATAGGGATCGTTTCTGGGACCATTAATGCTCGTGAAAGAAGCAACAACGACGGTGGAACCTTTTTGTTTAAACTTAAGTCTAACCATTGAGACAACTGCTCTTTTAATTTACTGTCTGGCAGTCCGTACGCTCGCATTCCACGTGCTCTACACGCCTGTTGTAGCTCACTTCTAGTAAGAGAATCTATACCTTCTTTCTCAATTAACTATAAATATAAATTATGTCATTATATAAATATTTAATATTATTACCTGGTAATTTGGTTATGTTTGAAGAAGAAAAATTACTTTATCATCTGCGGTAAGACTCCTTAACCGCATTCTAAGTAAAAATCTTAAAAAATTCGTCGTTCCAAGAGTTTGCACATCTAATACTCTACATAATGCAACTAATTGCGGTCGACTAAGGGAGTCTAAAGTAATTTCATCCTCAAAAAGTTTGCTGAATTGCATTATTTCTTCATTGCTGGCTACAGAACCAGAACTACGAACTTTATAAAAGAATTCGGCAAATTCTTTGGCTCTTTTCGATTTATAATCGGACGATTGCACAGCCATATCACCCAACGTTTTTTGCAAAAATTTAGCCATTTCAATTTTCATCTAAAATAAAAAATTGTTATGTAATATTTGTTAAAACAATTATGTTAATAATAAAAGACGAAAACAGATCTATACTTTTAATGCTTGTTTCAATTTATTCTCCTTGTCTGTTGCTGTTTGGAAGGTGGATGGTAACAACCCAGGGAAGAATTTAATGACAATTGGAAGCAAAAATTCCATGAAGGGTACAATAATGAAAACGGAGAAAGGAATAAGCCTGAACACATCCCCTGTTGTTTTTACAAGCTGAAAGTAGTTTACAAAAATTATTGATAAGATTAGATTGATCAGAACAATAAAATAATCTGGATGTAACTTACAAGTCTATGTTCTCTTCTACTAAGTTCATGACCCTTCAAAATTCTCCAAAGTAGCTTTGATGATATTTTCATATCAAGGCCCAATAATCTAAATCCATGATAATAATGTAAAATTTCACCCTTTACTTTTTGCCATAGTGTAGGCTTTTCTATAATTTCTTTTGGAACACTTTTAGCAACAGAGACTTCTGCCTTTGCCTTTTCTTCTGCCTTTGCCTTTTCCTCTGCCTTTTGTTCCTTGATATTCTTTACAGTCTTTTCAACCTTAGAAGATGACTCTTGACCCTTCCATGTTGGTGTTACATAAAATGTACGGAATTGTACATATGGCAAATTATTATTATAATTAGGACAATTTTCTGCTAATGCTGAATGCATTAACAATCTACTATTTCTTGGGTCTCTTCTACCCATATAAACAAATGCTAAGCTACCATTTATTTGATTGGTACTGTACCATAATTTAAAGCAGCCATACTCTGTAAGAAATACATAACACATAACTTTCAAAATAATTAGTAATATTATTACTTAAGGTAATATTATTACCTAAAACATTACAGTTAGCATTTAATTGATAATTATTAAAAATACAATGGAATATGTATTACAACAATGAATTACAATATAACCTGCTGCTAGATGTGATTATATAAATTACAAAATGAAAACAAAAATAATACAGCAAACAAGTTTCTGTTGATTTATCATAGATATTAATAGATCTATCTACAAATTTACTAGTTATATGTATATAATTGGTACAATATGTATAATCTGTGGGCCGGAAAATGTTAGCTTATCATTCTGATTAATTTATCGAATATAATTAAGGTACATACGGCGTATTGCTGATCTGTGACCAGATACCATTGCTTTTGTATGAATTAACGAATTCATTTTATATTAAAATATTGTTTTCGTAATTTTCGTTCTTTATTAAACTCGTATGTCGCCGTAGTGTGGTAAAATACCATATGATACCATACCATTACACATTTTCTAACTTGAACATAGCGATGAGAGATCAAAGATCAGATGGTTGTTAAACTGATAACCACGTTGCTAGGATAAATTAATACTGATTTATATTTAATTATTCTTGCACAGTTATGTTTCCAAATACATTTACGATTCAATGTATACTACAATTATGTTGCAAAACTGAATTTTCGTTTATTTACGAAACGATGATCGGTATTTAAGAACATTCAGGCAGTGTTCTTATTACCCTTACCCTTACCCCGAATTTCGCCCAAAGGCTGGCATTTTTGGAGACTTTTCTGTCTCCATGTTGCCCAACGAACGCTTTCCACCACGCGCCTTCGGGGATGGGTTGGCAGCCCCGCCAACCCCAAACCCCGCGCATTTTTTTTAAATTTCATTACTCATACTTGTCTAAACTTTTAAATCTTGCACTCGATCCATACTTTTAAAGTCTGCTCATCTTTTGTACGTGTGTGTATGTGTTTGTGTGACCCCTTTTAGTCGCCTCTTACGACAGGCAGGGGATACCGTGGCCGTATTCTAAATCCCCCGAGCCACAGGGGGCTGTTCTTATTACAAAACGCTTTAATAGAAACGGGATAATATACTTTTTTACAAAGCAATTAATAACAAATCATTTAATAGTTATGCCATATTTTCATAGCCATACTATACTATATAATATTTTCCTTGCAGAAGTGAATTTCTTTAATAAATTCCAACTACTTTCGACTTAGTTTATCAGCGCTAAGTTCTACCAATGCAAATTAAGTTATGGGTATATCGGTATGTTGATGAGTTGAGGAACACAAAGGAAACAGGAGATTCATTTTCGAACACACTAAAAATCTTGTGCAAGAACTGACCAAGTGCCAGTAAGCAGGGTGGGGGAGGTGTACTAAAGCTTTTAGTAGCCGCCATGTTTTTCTCTGAGTGGGGTGTGTAGAAGAGGCCGGGGTGAAAATCATCTCTCGAGGCATGCAGGTATGTCAAAAGATTGAACATTTTCGTTGATCACGATTTAAATGACCACCATGCTTAATATAAGTTGACAGTACGTCACGTACAAAGAGAGGTTTGCTTTCGTTTCGTAACGTCATATAGTTGTTCTTTTTACAACGAAAGAACTATGACTCAGGCGAAACGCATAGCGCAATTGGCAAGGTTATTCGCATTGCTCGACCAATGTCTTTGCCAACAATTCCTATAGACAGCTGTGCTGCAGCGTTATGCGTTCGAATTTGCAGTTTGTTTTTGTGCACCAGTTCGAGAGACATCTATCAAGTGGACGAGGCTGGTTGATAATGCGTCCAAAACTCAAAAATTCATATTACATTCCACTTACTCGTACCGCGTAATCTGGTGATAAGCATTTTTTGACAGCGTTGATAACGGTTCCGATCCGTTTCGATCGATCTTGCGGCTTGTTTTTATTTTGCAAAATGTAGGGTTGGTAACCCGTTTTTTAGCCACGACGTGGAACATTTATTTTGGATCCATGGTTCGTGCAACGTGACTTAATAGCCTCTAACACAAATACGTTTCTAACTACGTCTTATATATCTAATTGCATTTTGCGCAAAAATGATTGCGATTGTTTGAAGCTTGTACACGCGCGTAATGAACAGAACGTTTGAAAAACGTAGATCATGAATGTTCGTTTTGCGTTTTAATGAAACAAGTAAAATTTAACATGCAGTTGCCTTATTTTCTTTTTGTCTGAAAAAATAAATATTCTACTTTCACTTAGGTTTAAGAAATCAAATTTTTAAGACGTTTAATTTACGTACCGAGAAAATGAACACATTCATGATATTCTGTATCATATTACATCGCGTTTATTAAATAAAAAATTAAGTTTTTGATACGATTTATTACTTCATCTAAAAATGAGATTAATCTCTAATTTGATTTCTAAATATTGTGTTAAAATATCTATGACTGACATTCCTTTATCTTCCTTATAATATGATAACAGTTATTATGGCAGACTAACTGAAGTTAATTATAAATAGAACACTACATATTGGCTTAATTTAATAAAATTTTGTGCATGGTTTTCTTTTAACAAATTAGGGCTCTAATATTATAACAATTGTATTAATTGAAACATCCATAGTAGATTTAAGTTATGTGTAAAAGAATAACGCTGTTAATTATAAAAATAAATAAAAATAATGAAAAACTTTGTATTGGATTTATTTATTTCTGTAAAATATGTTGTTATATTCACACTGTTCATAAGAATAATTTGGAAATCATAAAATTTCAGTGTCAAAATGGGAAGGAGACTATATTTGTTATCCTTCGCTAAGACCTGCCAGCCTCATTTCCACAAGATATCCACCACCTGTGCACAAGAACTAAGTAATTTTTAAACAACGTAACTGAAATCACAAGAAGTACTATTCACTGATTGTGGGCAACGAAACTAAAAGTGAGAAATTACAAGTAACAAAGACAAAGAAAAACGTTTATCGAACTAGTAAATGTCAAGGTGGTGGATTCAGTAAAATTGAAACATTAAAGGACAATAATATAATACCGTAACTCTATTGTAAATAGGTAATTTGATTTATCATTCGCTTTATCATTGAACACCGTTGTAACAAAATTTGTGCAAAGTGTATTAATTTATTTATCTTTTAAGGAGAGAAGATGATCACCCTGGAGGTAGTGGAATCCGTGAAAGTTCCTGGGTCTAGGAGGAGCTTAATTAAAAAGAAATGAGGAATCCGGCATTGCATCTGGTCGGGATAGCGACGTCCCCTGGAGGTGGTGAAGTGTTTGGTACAAGGGCCGAGGAGGAGTTGCGTCAGTGGCTAGAGACACGCTTGGACGCATTGGGAATTGACCCCGTTGCGTACTCGCGATTTGTACTTAGCCTGCTACGCCGCCCCGACTCGGCCCTAAGCCCTCCAGAAGAAGCAATAGGTACAGGTAGAAACGGAGGACGTCGGATTCGGGCCCGACCTAAAGCTAAGCTGCCAACGCAAGGAGACAGAGAACAAAGACGTGCTGTTGTGCAATGCCTGACAAGTGCTGCCGATAATGTAAGACATATTAATAATTATAATGTAAAATGTAAAACTGTATATAATTTACATAAAATAATAATGTTCGTATTACTTCTTTGTTTTTAGAAATGTGGGGTGGAAACTTTGGTCGATGAATTGTGCATGAAATTACGAGATTTAGAAGGAGGTGGTTCAGATGAAGCGAAAGAAGAATCGAAGAGCACAGATGACGATAATAAAACAAATTTAGAATCGCTTACACCCCGTGACAGAGCTCTCAGATACTACGCAGCATTTCCTGCTTTGCAACCTGCAACTCTTAAGAAGTTTCCCCAGAAAAAAGATAGAAACTGTGGAAATAATAACAACAACAACAATAACTTTAATAACAACAACAACAAAATCAACGGGGTCAACTATAATAATAATAAGAATAACAATAAATCACGCAATAAGAAAACTAAAATGTCCATTGTAAGTGGTGAAATGAATGATTTCATGCATCATTTGTATGCTAAAGAGCATGTTCCATTATTTGTTTTACTTTTCAGACTATTGACTCACGAAGATCAGACGATAAAGGGAGCTTTGGGTTTGCTAAGTCAATGGAACGCGAACGGGAAAAAGAGCGGGAATTAGAATTGGATAAACTGAGATTGGCACAGTTGCAAGCGAAGTTTGACGAGAGCTTAGAAGCACTTTGGGATTCAGGACCAGGCAATGCACAGGACACGGCTTCTATTTGGGCAGCACCTACTCTTTCTATTCCTTCAGGACCCCTTTGGCCGACAGACACTACCGAGACAATCTTTACTTTATCCACCTCAGACAATGGTTATGCTTCTGACACTCCGTACCAGGAATCTATTGTCGACGACTCACCGCTCATTCCATGGGATATTGATTTGATCAGCATTGAAGATTATGCGGATGAATGTAGTAACAAAAATAAATCAGGTCAGTACTTCGATCATATGTGTAATTTCACATCATGATATAGTAATGTTGACTTAAGTATACTTACGGATAGGAGATCGTTCTAACATGTAAGTAAATAACAGCGTATTAAGTTAGTCAGCGTTTCGTCGTGTCCAACTTTTATGATCATTTCTGTTTTGTACGTACCCATGAAGATGGTAATTACGTTAACTTTAAACATACTATTTCAGAAAGCAATGTTAACTGGTCTGACTCAGCTATGGATGGATCATGGTGTTGGAAAGGGCTTGGCAGTAATTTAGCTGCCTTGGGCCACAGTCCTCAGACAGGTAGCTGCTTCTTTCCAGTCGCACCGCGTAAGACTCCCATTGGAACACGCAAAGAATCTCGTTCAAACCTGAAGGTAAACAGCCTTCCAGAACCGGACGAGGATTTGCTTACTTCCGCTCGCACACACTTTCGTCCAATAAAGGATGACGGACAGTGGGCCGATGGGACAACATTTCCTGTGAACAATACTTTAGAGCGGGTCGCATATCGCAGATCTGAGTCAGGAAACTTGTTATATCTTCCTGGTGGAGAGAGCCCTTATATGGAGTATCGAGAGAATGACTCGCCGCTTCCTCCAGTATCTTCGAATTTAACATTGAAATTCAGGGTGCGTCAATGCGACAAGTGCGTTCAAACCGAGCCCATACGATCTCCGGTCAAACGCAGAATTCTCTCCGAACAGGATCATGTTCGTTATACTCCAGTCGGAGTGGAAGATACTGTTATTCGCGAAGAGGAAAAAATCGAGAAAGATTGCTATGCATTGGGTCAGCTGGGCTGGGTACGATCTAATGTACCTCTGCACAATGATAGGAAAAGGTAATGAAATGTCTCTAAAAGGATCCATATTACGTGTCTATAGCTTTGTTTTTTGTTTTCTCTTTTTTTTTGCTTTGCACACGTTTTAAGTTCTTTTTTTTTACTGTGTCAGTAAGGATGTGTTCCTACTATCTTCCATTAATTATTCCAATACACGGTGAACTTTAAATTACGTTCGAACGTGAAAGCCTTTCTCGTTTGTTCAGAGGTACGAATGTGTAGCTAGACCAAAGATCATAACGAATGAACTTTATGTTACTGTTAAACGATCAGACGTTTACCTTTTTTTTTCTGTTATGTTTGTCAGTCTGTAATCCAAAATCGATAAATATGTATACGTATCTATATATCTATATACACGCACGTAATCGTGATATGTAACACGCTACGAAATTAAAGTATATATTTTGAAAAAAATATTAACACAGCGAGCACGTATGTCTTCAAACATTTGTTACAACTTACAGATCGGTTTCTAATTCTCAACGCGTATGTAAATCCTAGCATAGAATTTAAATGTGGTCTGTGTACTTAGTTGCATCGTTGCAGTTTTACGTAAAATGTTATATGTTTAATGTATTTTGTTTCGATAGAAGGCACAGTAGCAGCTTCGGATGCCAGCCTCTGACGACTTTGCGTCCGTTGACCTTATGAACTGGATAAAATACGAGCTGCTAAAAATGCTATATGACTGGAGAGTTTAAGGTTTAGCTATACTTTTTTTTCCAAGACGAAGACGAAAACTGTTAAAGAGAAGGTATGACAGGGGGGCCTCTTGGCATGTGGAATTTGTTATGCATGTATCCAAGATGGTGCCGTTATATACACATATATAGAGAAAAAAAAAAACAAAAAAAGAAAAAATAAGTATCCCCCATTGTCGACGAGCAGAGTTGAAAAAAATAAAAAGGTCAGAAAGAGAGTGAAGCGAGATGAAAGGAATATTAAACGTTCATTTAGATAATTATTATTAACCCTTTGACAAATAAAAGAAAAAAAAGAAACGGAGCAAAATAGAGGAAAAATGTATATGTTACGCAGTGTTTAATGACGAAAGCGAGAGAGGGAGAGAGAGAGCGCACGAGAGATAGAGAGAGAAAGAAAAAAAAAATATCGAAAACGTAGTCAATGAGATTTCGTTTGGTAGCTTGTTGATAATTTTATGTAAACTTTTTCAAAGAGAAAGAAACGAAAAAAAAATTAGTGCGCTGATTTTTTTTTGTTTAGAAAATGTAGCGAGCAGGTGATTTTTTTTTTTGTTTCTCATCCGATGTGCAGGCGTTCTATTATGTGTGTTTGCATTGGATGCATCGCAGAACGAGAAAGAAAGAAAAAAAAGAAATAAATGTAACCAAGAAAATGCCAAAAAAAAGAATGATACTGAAGAAATTGAAAGAGTAAAATTCGAGGACGGAGTACTTATAAGTATAAATAAAAATAGGGAAGAGAAGGAAAGAAAAAAAAAAGATAAAAATGCCGCACGACATTAAACCAAGAACCATCAAAGTACCATTCTATTTTCTTGTTGTTTTTTTTTTTCGTAATTATTAATGAATTATCTTAATTATTATCCCTTTAATTATAATTTAACGTCCTAGAAGATTAATGTCCCTTTGTCCCTATCCATCTTCCACCAAATCCCATGTTTTAAAAGAATCCAGAGTATCCAATGCTTTTCCTGTACTCCCTCAAAGGAAATACATGTTGAATCGACGAGAACGTACATACGAAAGAAAAAGAAATGGAATATGTAACTTGAAGAAGGAGATACAGAAAAAGAAGTGTATGTATACGTCCGATAAAAGAACGTGAAAGAAACGTTATTAGGAAAATGAATGCCTTTTAAACGAAAGAGAGCGAATATAAACGCGATAAGAAGAGGAGGTGTTAATGTTAACACAAAGGATCGTTTATGGTGTTGTACATGAAATGTAATGCGAAGAGAACAATGGAACTAAGGAGAACGAAAAAAAAAAAAATCTAAATATTCTCTGCGCGAAATAATGTACGCAAAGGGAGTAACCAAATAAAGGCATTGCAAACGCTGAAAATGTATATCATTTACAATTCCCCTTTCTTTTTTCTCCTAAAAAGTTTTTCATTATCAAAAAGACTTATCCTCCTTTCTTCCCTTTCTTTATTGCTCGTTGAGCAGTAACGAGCATCAACGTCCTGATACGGAATAAAAGATCTTGAAGAACAGGATAATCGAATCTTCGTGTATTTTCTTCATCTTACAAGAAATAACTTTAAAACCTCGATCTGACCTGGGTTGCTTGGAAACCGTGAGTTGGGGCTGGCTGTAAATTAAATCTAAGTGGTTTTATTTTCGGTAGATTACCTTTGCTAGGGCTGTTGCGATCTATCTTCGTGATCTTCGTACGATGCCGATAATACCAGTACTCAAAGGCCAGGGTGAAACAAGCAAAAATAATACCGAGGAATATCACTACAAATACACCCCCTATATTATGAATACTTATACCGTCGCTTTGACTGTTCTCCGCGTCGCAATTCTTTTTCTCAGGATTCTTCTTCCACCATTTGTCCTTCAGCTTCTCCAATTTTCGTTGGTTCAATAGTATCAGAATTCTATATCGAAATAAAGAATAGAAATACATTGCGAAATCACGTTTATAGGATACCAATCGAAAGCTTACGCATTGTTGAATTGATCCTTCAGCGGAGATCCTTGTTGAACCGCAATCGCGTATGGTTTCCTCGAGAAGTCCTCTCCAACTTGTACCAGGTCACAGTTCGTCATGGCAAGATACCTGATGGTGGTAGAATCCTCGATATAAGCGAATTCATTATTCGAATCTTCACGTCGAACTCGTCGCAAAGCTTCTTCGATAGTGGCTGGAAAACCAGCTTCTTCCATCGCTTGCAACATTTTCGTGTACTTGTCGCTGACGGGATAGTCCCATACCGCTAGTTCAGCTCTCTCTACGTCCGACAAACTATCGTTAAGACTCATCTCCTTCCAAATGCTAGAATAAACGTAAGAAATCTTCAGATCAACCGTTTCTAACTTACACGTAACGCGAAAACAAACTCACTCGTAAAATCTCCATTCGATAGCAGCCATCCTCTTGAAGTAAATGTATGCCGAAGAGTAGAGTACCGGGGCGTATTGAATCTTGTACTGTTTGCTAAGATCTTCCAATGTTTCGATCGGTATCTCTAACCTGGACACGGTCAGAAACGCGGCCAGATTAGCCGTGTACGAGGCGATGATGATAAATCCGAACAACCACCATGTGGCAGCGACCAGTCGTCCGGAAAGATTCTTCGGTGCTTCGCCGCCACCCTGTGGTGTCAAGGAAGTCATACAAAACCAGAAACACTCTCTTAAATTAAACTCTCTCTTCTCCTCATCGTTCTTGTACTTCGCTCTGTTATTTTGGTAGCTGTACGGTGACCAACGATCGAAGATCCACAATAGGACGCTGGTGAAAATGTAGGCGGCGAGTATGCAGAACCAAACCTCGTTCTCCAAAACGGTCAAAAATTTGAACAACGAGGTGGTGGTTTTAGTTTTCAGCATCATGATGGAAAGACCTACCAGATCGTAATAAGGCACCGTGAAATCTACCACAACTTCCCTTTCCGCGGTGACCCAAAGGGAACCAAGAGCTATGTCAGCTCGTTTCTCGATCAATTCCTTCATCATACCGTTCCAGCTACCGTTTGGATTCAAATTCCCGTACATTTTGTCGTCCGCCTCGCGTATCTCGTACTGAAAGCCCACCGTCTCCCTGATCTCGTTCAACAGGTCAATGCAGAAGCCGAAGTACTCGTTCTTCTCCTCGTTGTACATCACGAACGGAGGATGAAGCACGGTAACTACCCTATAGCTCTTCACCGCCGTGGTGTTCATCACGTCGCTGTTCGTTATCTACGCAGAAACAGATGGGTTTATGTTGATGGTTTAATCGATATAGGAGGGGGTTAAGGGATGTTCTTAACACTTCCGTTACGTGTGGCACGCGTCGATTGTGCGACGCATATTAACATTCCGACAGACGCATATTTTATGTAATTGCTTCCCACGGTAAATGGAAATAAAGTGAAAAATACGACCGTCGAAGTGGAAGTAAAGCAACTTGAAGTTTAAAAGAAAAAGAACCTACACTCAAGCTAGGACGATCGAGAGCTTCTAAAAAGTATTTCCAAACTAAACATGTAACGCGACATTCACAGTATGAAACTACGAGTCGAAAGAGCACAATTACATAGTAGTTCATTTTTTTATGGATTGCACGAGCAAATAGAGTTGCATGTGTTATCTTCATCAGTACTCCTTATTATCAGTAATCGGTGTAAATAAACGTAGCGGCGGTGTGTCAAGGGTATAACTATCGCGATGGTTAACTTAATCAGGGGTCATGACTAAGAAATTACTTTTACTTTGATATTTTCTAAACGAAACTTTCCTTATATTCCTCACTCCTATTGTTCCCAGTTCGATCGAAGTGGAAAACGTGGTGATTGTACATATCTTTAAGGACGGATTTTAATGAAGTATTTATTTTCATTCCATTCACACGATTCAGTGTTATCTTCCAACCGTGACATTCGATTATCGAGTAGCCTCATCCTCGCGTGACTAAAAACTACCATTTTTTTGCTGATCAATATTAGACCGACCTAATTTAGTTTAGTAATGACACGTGCACGGCACTATCCATTTGCTCAGTTGATTTTGCCGGTTATAAATTTTAAAGGTGCTCTTTCGGAAATTAAATGAATTTTATATACCATCGTTGCCGTCGATCGTTCCGAAGTAACGCGCTTTCAACGAGCCATTAAACATTCATAAAGATTCTAAAATACCTCGAATGTTTCTGTATTTCATTTCCTCGACGCAAGATCTAAGGGAAAATTAATTTTCTTAATTTGCCCGTCTCTGCACGATACAAAGAAGAAAGGATTACCAAATCAAAGGAATTAATGATTGGAATGTTCGAAACTTACCTCCAAGGGTGAATCGATGCTAGCGTTCCAAGATCCGCTATCCACCATATCGGAAATCACCTCTTCCTCGATGTTCACCAGGTGAATGGACATCTCGAAGCGAGCCTGGTGCTCGCCGTTCTTTGTTCCCCACTGGATTCCAGCATAAGTTGGCGTCATGTTCGCGTAAGCGGCTTTCAATTTCCCGAAGAAGTCCAACTTCCTCACCGGCGTGTTCGTGTTATTATATTCGTCGCAGGTGATTTGTTTCGGCTTCAGTGGCCACTCGCCGTTGTCCAAGGCCGATTTCATCGCTTGAACGGCTAACTGAAGCAGGTCATAATAGAAAGCAGAAGAGATAATCGGTTTCGGCAGGATGGCCTCCACCGCGGGCTTCTTCTGCACGAACTTAGGCTTCATAAAGAGGACCGTCACGTTTTTGCACTCGCATTTCGGCCAAATCTCAGCTTCCGGAGTTAATAAGAACCAACCGTACTTTTTCCCGGTGAAGCTCAAAGTCTCCGCTGCTTCCAGGGCTACGTTGATAGTGTTCTCGTCTCCTAGAATGAAATAATTAACGATATCGAGGTCCCTCAACCGTGGTAGCTGCCTCTTCATCTTCGCCACTTGTTGAGAAGCTTCGTTGATCACGTGTCTGGTGGGTACGTTCAACAACAGACTCTTGTACTTGTGATCCATGACGAAATTATGATCATACAGGATCGCCGCGTTCGTGATGTTCAACTGAATCGCCAATCGTCTGACTGCTTCTGGTATTAAATCAGTCGGAGGCATCACCTGTACTAGATAACCCTGCTGATCGTCATTCAAATTTCGCCAATAGAGAAGATCTCCCTGTTGGCCGTATTGGGCGGATAGCGTAGGGATTCCTAGGGCAGCTGTGAACGAGTTCGTTATCTTGGCACCCAGGCCAGCTGTCGTAGTGTCCACCACCAAATCCGGCACGTTCGTTCCCCCTTCCTCCACCGCCGCACCCCATAAGTTACAAATACGGTCCAGAGTGACGTTGATATCTGTACCATTCACCTGAACCATCCACACCCTTCCCAGATAATTAGGATGTTTCTCTCTGACCGTCTTCAGGGCGGCTATCAGACTGGCGTTGGCCACTTTGTTACCTTCATCGTTGATGATGACTGACGGAGGTACATACGATAAAAGAGAAGATCAAGATTATTTCGGAATTTAGAATTTCGGATTTGAAGAGTTACAACGAATGCGAGGAATCGTGGAATTAGGAATGGCAGTAGTTTAGTAGGTAATAAGTCAGACGCGTTCGAGCGCCAGGAGCTCATCGATTCCCTGGCACTTTTCACAGGATTCTAGAGAAATTAAAAATTCAGAACACGAAATTTGTTACTTACAAAGATTAACTGGTCTCGTATTCGAGGCTTCTCTATCCTTCCCGTCGTTTCCTTGTCCATGGACCGAGTATCCACCACGAAAACCGAGGAACACAGCGAAGATAAGATACTTGAATTTCATTCTGAACTTGTGAAAAGAGCCACTCGTCAAAATTATGGTACATAAATGGCTGATTCGTTTCGGTTTACAGGTGTTCCGTTTCGAGCCCGGTGATATCGCGCGAGGAAATCGGTCGAGCAACTGAAGGGTGGTCTAGAGACCCAGACCCAAGTTGGCTCACTCGCTCTCCCTCTGTTCTATTTGTGTTTGTCCATCGGTTACCGCGGGGACGACCTAATCAATTTCCCGTATCAACGCAATTTGTCTCTTCTTTCCTATATCCTTCCCCCTTTTTTTTTCGTTCGTCAAAATTCTGGCTCGCCATTGACCTTTGGGTGCGCGAGCGAGCAATTGGGTGAGCACGACACGAGAACGGACCGCGACACTTTGCGATGAATTTGCATGCGGCTGGCTCGCGTGTCCTGTTATCTAGTAATCGGCTAGTCGATCGTTGGTTTTTTTCCCCTCGTCACGTATCACTCGAAACTTTCGTTTCAACGGTAAGTAACATCGATAGCTTCGTGACTGAAGTTCATAAACGTTCCCAACGCATTGCACGCCCTTCGATTGTTCCTTCGCGAAATTGTTATAGGGCCTCGTAATTGGATGAGCTCGAGATTGTAATTCGTGATAGAAGACGTTTAAAAATTAAATTTACAACCGTTGCAACTCGTGAAAATAAGGAAACACTTGGAAATTGAATTTATAGGTATTATCGTTCATAAAGGAAAGAAAATTTCTCTATTTACAACACCTCTGTATTGTAGAAAGAAAGATACGGAAATGGCAAGAGAAAATTGATGCAATCATGCTGAAATTAGGACAGAGCAATTGCAGTAGACTGTAATGGGTTTGAAAAGAGAACTTTGTTGAAGAGAACTGGAAAATCGCACTACTGTTATGGATTAGCTAATTACTGTAAATATCCAAAGAAAATCTCAGTATTTCGATTCCCAGAAAGTAGGCTACGGAAATGTCAAGGGAAGGAACTTTTCCTTTGTGTGTTCAACATTTTTATTAAAGGGCGTAAAATGATTTGTTTAAAAAGATGCAATTGAACATTGGCAAACCAAAGAAGTTACTTCTCCGATGTTCCTTTGATTTTAAACATTTCATTAATTTCCGTATTTCTGCCCGAGTCGAGTTTGTAGCATTCTTACAAAGAGGGCATACCTTTTCAGCCGCCCTTCTTTAGTTGATATCAATACCAGCAATATCGGAGGCAGAGTATTAAAGCAGCAAGCAATATGCCGACGAGGATCAGTAGAAATGTAACTGTCAAATTGTCGAGGTTGAACCTCGCGTTAAAGTCTTTGTCGGGCGAGCAATTCCCTCTCAAAGGGTTTTCATTCCTCCGTTTCTTCCCCTGCAGCGTTTAATCTCTCTTTCAATTACCAACCGTGTAATCCTTTAATTAACCGTTAATTGTTACACGTAGCAATCTGCTTTGTAACACTTTACAAGAACTGAGAATTGTGCTACGATTATTTCTGTTTTCTAAATAAGGGTCTTTTGAACTTTATGTCCTCGAAATTTTTGCCAAATCATTGCCAATATATTCTCTGATCAATTTTTTGAGATGTTTTCTTCTTTTCGAGAGGCGATCGACGCGAACGCGAACCAGAAGAGCTCCTTCAGCGAACAGGATCGATCGTTCGCCTCGTCTCGATACTTTGCCCGATTGTTCCGGTAGCTAAAGGGCGAGTACCTCTCGAGAATATATAATAGAAATATCGTTAAGAGGAAAACGAACGGGAAACCAATCCAGACATCGATCTCCAAGATCATTAGGAACCTGAAGAACGGATTCTTTTCTTTCCTCAGCATCATTATCGCCGGACCGATTGGGTTCTTGTACGGAATCGTAAAGTCTGCCATTTGGAAGTTGAACTTCTATGAAAAATCAATTCATTGAAATATTTAATCATCAGTTTAATCGTGCATAAGCACAGAGTGTTTCAAGACTTTTCTTTCATACCTGAGTACTTATAAAACTTCTTAATGTTGGAAGAGATTTCTGTAGGGAATATACATAATACAGAGGATACGCTAATTCCAGTAGGAACTAAAATTAGAAATCTCAAAGAAAGGAGTTACTTACAGGAGAGTACGTAGAAATAATTAACTCCTTCAATAAGGAAGCGTTGCGACGAAAGTCGAGCACAGACTGGTGATCTCGACGGTGATTCGAATAGTAGCATCCAATTTACAAAGCACACAACAGTACATATTTACGACACGAACGTAACCGACGAAGTCCCGAGCAACCGGCTTTGGGTTTACGTTTCCTTGTTAACTGCAAACTTCCCTCTGCTGTTCGGACGTCTTTGAACGTCGAAACCCGCAGTTAAGGGTAGTTGTTAATCTTACCAACTTACAGCCGGTGTTATATCTAACTTCGATCACAATCGCTAACGCTGAGCAACGCCATTAATTTCCTGGCTAAACCCTGCGTCATCGTTTTTGGTAATTAAAGTGACAAGGTACCTAATGCAGGAACAGATATGTATGTCCTAGAAACCTCGATTACCATCTCTAAAATTTGTACCAGAGAAAAATATTTTGAAAATTATGTAAGCTTTCAAAGTGATTTTCTCTTTTAATTTAAACTATACTGATATTCAGATGGTTAACACTTTACCAGCCTGTAAATTTACGTACTTATAAATTTTTTTACAACTCCGGATCAAAGAGGTCAAAGTAATTTTCTCTTCGATATTTCAGCGAACGCTTCGGGGACGGAATGATCAAGGATCGTAAATCTTTAACGAAGGGTGCAAGGGTCGCGTTAACACGCCATATAATTACGAGCCTCGTCCACCCTCTGACCCGTGCAGTATCTCTACCACGATCGGATATTAATTCGTCGGTAACCTTTTAACAGGGCCGATATCGGAATCGTGAATTTATTGCCGAGGCTGGTGTGCTGCAACAAAAGCAAGCAGAACAATTCAGTTCTGCCGAAGAATTAACGCTGATAAATGACAGCGATAAAAAATGTTCGAATATCGCTGCCATAGGTAACAATTTTATGCGGTATTTACTTTTGGGTGTCAAGAATTTATTTCTAGTCGAATAAAAATAAATCGAAACTCTGGAATATTATATTCCATTAGTAATATTTTGTGAGATATGAAAAAGAATTAAAAATTTTAAGAGACAAAAATCGCACAAAATGTACTGCCATCAAAGTTTTAATATACTTTGTATTTTTAGATCCCACTAATAATACGAGGTAGTAATATCTCACCTTATATTTCCTCGTAATTTGATGTATATAGAGCTGTATTTTATACGTTCAATAAAAATTCTACCATAGCAACAAAGTTTAAAATTGGTTATTTTTTCCCATTGTCCTTTATCGTTGGCTGTACCGCGATTAGACTCACCTCGAATTCGTGGTTACTTTTTTATCGCAATATCGATATGTTTGCGTGCTAGTGGAGGGTAATAACCAGAGAAACTATCCCGCCCCTCGAAAATTGGATTGTGAATTCTATCGTGGTAAAGCAGGAACAATAGAAGCATAAAAAAGACCCGTTCACGTTTTTCCGAGGTGCGAACTTTAATTGCTTCGAATCAATAGAATAAATTAATAGAATAAATGAAACGTCGATCGTTCAATAAATTCACGGTAAATTGAAGCGGATATAGAAAGATTCTTTCCGAACAATTCGCTAACGAATGAAATAAAATTAAAGCGTTTCCGAATGAACGACTAAACGTGTGAATTCGATCATTTGCTCTAAGAACGTTTTGCATTAACGTGTCTAATTTCAAACGGGTAGATTCTGTGCCAAATGAATCCTTGACGAGTTATTACAGATGGAGGAGCTTCAACGGATCTCTCGAAAGGATAAATTGAACGCATTCATTTCAAAATCCTCGTGAATTTCTCGCAGGCATTTGAAGGATTCCATCTCTAGCGAAAGATTATTATATCAGATTGTTTCATATCAAATTGCTCGTCTAAAAATCTGGAAAATTTGACGGAATTAATTAAGATCCTTGAAAATCTCCTCCCGTTTCCTGTCACCGGATAATGTAATACGTATCCAAAGTTCGAACCTTTGTTCGGGAAAGTCAGGCCCGTATTGAACGTATCTAATTTCTAAGTGGCAAGAACAGAGACGGTAGTCGCAAATTTTGAGTACTCTCGTCTCGAAACAAGCTTCGTCGGCGGGAAACTTTCGATGGCTCGAGGAAGTCGTTCGTTCGAATGGGTCGTGAGTGTAAAATCTTGGAGAAGACTGATCCAGGGGCTCGTTTATGTTTTTTATACCGGTTGCCGCAGGGATGTCACAGTCAAAGCTTACCCGTTGCTTTTTTCCACCCCCTTCGCTTTTCTCTCTCTCACGCTTCCTCGCTTTCCATCCACCTTTTTCTTCTCCGTGTCGCCCATCCTACTCGCTCTTTTTTCTCCTGTCCTCTCTTCTCTTTTTTTTTACACAAAGTATTTCTTTCTCAACAATGCCAAGCACTATATTTAGGCGCTGTATTGTAAATCAGCAGCGAGCTTTTTCCACGTATTCGCACGCAAATTGGGGCACCTTGACATGCACATACATAGATACATTTGTTGCTTTCCCGCTGTTCGATTTTCCCCAACGTGTACGATATTGTCTTCGTGGCTGTGCGTCTATTCGGAACTCTGTCCGACAAGAGACAACCACCGTCACGGACGAAAATGAAGCCCCCGACGGTACATCGGTCCGTCGCGTTTCCCTCCGTTGAATGGATCTTAATTGCCAAACGACATTATTCTACGCTACGAGAGGAAGAGACAGAGGGAAACGGAGTTTCTCTTCTGTTAACGAGGACTAATATTAATTAGGAGTTCTCATGTTGGATCAGGTTTTCGTTTTCAAAGAGGTATTATGATCCTACAGATCCTTCATCAATTAATGACATCTTAGATTTACGATCCATCGAATTGTTCATTAAAATTCATTCGTTACCAGAGTCGTTTTGGTAATTAAAATAAATGCCTGTATTGTATTTGTAAACCATTATTCGACGTAGATTGAAATATGAACCCTGAAATTTCTACCTACTTTTTTCCCTTTTTTATGTAAAGGATTGAAATTAAACCCCGCACCAAATATCTACCACGTCGATCCGACATGGGTAGAAATTAATATACCAGCAGTATCATTGTCATCTGGTTTATTCCACAAATGACGTATCTTCTATAACGAGACCCGAATTTTCGATAAATAATTTCTCACGTTAAACATTTTCGACACGTGTCATCCGTCAATGTTCCATCGATGAAACTAACTTGCTTTCCATTCTATATAATATTCCGATTGATGCGACTTGCGAGCAATTCAATTCTAATTGAAATCGTTAAATTCATTGGAACAACTTTAATTTCGAATATCATTTGGAATTGAAAATTCATAATGTTATATGAAAGGGTATCGATAGGAAAATATAAAACGATAGACTAGCAAAGGTTTATGAAATTCGAATATTTCCAAGGGTGTTCAATACGAAACCCTTTTGAAAATACAGAGAACGTGATGCGTGCACGAGCGGAACGATGGTATTCAATTTAATGCATCATTAAGAAAATTTTCAACCTCTTCCTTCGAAAGTGGTATCCCGTGCGACGTGCTTCCTTATCGGCTTGATTTGTGCAAATTACATAATTTCCGCGGAAACTACGGCGAGGTGGAATCTGATATCGAGAACTATCAAAGCACGAGCGTGGCATGCTTATTCCCAGTAACAATTATGGAAATAAAGACTATCATTATCTTCAATTTCGTTTTGAACGTTCGAGTTTGCCTTCCTTTATCGAGAAGCGTCCATATATCCAGCATTGATTTCCTAACGAAATTGAAAATATTTTTTCAATCGACCTATCAATTCTTTTTAAACCTCCATTCGCACTACAATGAATAGATTAAAATTGATTGATTGCTGCTGAAACTATTTTGAATATCTAGTATTTTAAGTCCTTGTCAATTAGAAAATGAAATTAATCTTCTGGAAATCATTGGAAGATTGCTTTGCAACGTGAAGCATACTCGTTATGAATAATCTCATTAAAAAGATATTACATGATAATTGCGGGATTAAAAAGAATTACAGGATTATCAAATCCAAGCGATACAATCAGTGTTAGAAACGAACATGTACGTGCGTTAAAGAATTTAATAAACCAGTATCGCTTGCCAATCAATTCCTACAAGTTTAACGCTATGGTCTCTGGCGGCCGTGTCATGTTCAGATAAACAGTCATTTATCGCCGCTTTCGTGTTGTAATTCACCATTGTATCAGTAATTTATTGCTTTGTCGCAGCGGTTCTCCAAGCTCCTGCTGTTCATTTCTTCCGTGCAATTAATGGTAGAAAAAAATGCCCATTAGCGATCGAACACTCTATGAACCGTCTAACACATTCCCGATCACTATTTCCTGTTCACTTAATATAGTAGTAATTACTAGAACCTAATTCCTCGATTTCTACTTCTAATTTCTAACACGATTTCCTCTGAGTCTCCAGTTTTTTAATTATTTATAATCGAGTCAAGTACTCACCGTTGACGACCCAAGTGACAATCAGCATATCGATGGTACCAAGAAAATGAAAAGAAAAAAATAAAATAAGGGGAGGAAGAATGAACGAGTGTATTTTCAATGGGCATTAAAACATTGGACGTGGGTGGCCAGAGGAACGAAAATGAAAGAGCAGCTACACAGCTATCTAGATCTCGGTGGAAAGTTTCATTATGGGAACTGCAACGCGAGAAAGCGGGAACAGAAAAGTGCGCGTTCGTTCTCTTATCGCGATCTGCACGTTCGTTCGGTTCGCCATGCTTGCGTGAATCTCGAGAACCGATGCCTAATGGGCCTATTAATGATTCGAGATCCACGGACAATTACGCGAACACTGCACGTGATTTCGCGATCATTTATGTATGCATTTGAACCCTCGGATCAGCTTTCCGAAATTTCTATGCTAATCTCAGGTGTATACATACCGCACCTTGCCATTTCATTAAAATTACTCCCTAATTTTCATTCATTTTTTTTAAATAAAACCCATATGGGGATTTAACTAATTAGCGAAATGATGAGAGAAACGAAATTGAAAAAATCACTCGTCTAAAATGAGAAATTTCCCAGTAATTATTTTCGGAAAAATCCCCGGAAGAAGCGGTATCGCGATGCATAAAACATTAATCAAAAACATTAGTGGACACTCCGCTCTCGTGGATTTTATAACTTACCTCGGTAACGAAGTACCTCGGAGGGCACTCATGTATTTTTCATTGAATTTGTCCCGTCTATCTCTATGCATATTTCCTTTTCATTCCACCGAAATTTTTCTTCTTTTTGTCAATGTCATATTTCGCGCGTGTCCGCGTTGCTCCTGCGAGTGTGCAGGAATAAAGCGATTGCGAGGAAGAGAAAAGAACGAATTCCAGGCTTTTAAACGGGGAAATTGCATTAAAAGTGAAACAGGGAAGAATAAACAAGCGAGAATCAACTCGCCATCGTTGGACTTGTTTGGGATAAATTTTTCTTTACCATCGCGCGGTTCTTTTGCTTTGTTTAAGCAAAATTTAATTTCTTCGAATTCCCGTCTCGAATGGCCAGTCGTTCGCGGCTGAATCGATAAAAGCGATTCAGTGCAAGCTCGATTGTTAAGGGGTGGAAAACGAAAGGTGACTCAGGAATTTGCTGTGCTTGTAATGCTTGACCAGTCTAAAGAAGCTTAGTCAGCTTAAATCTACAAATTAACTGTTTCAGAATAAAGAACAGCTCTTTTGTTCTGTCAGCGTAAATCACCTTTTTTGTATGCCGTTCGCTTAGCCTTTGTGACGTTCTCCTGGCCATTGACCGAGGCTGCAAATTTAATTTCATCAAACAATTAGAAAAATTAAAAAAAAAAAGAGTACTCGAGAAAAGTACCAAGGGTCGAATGAAACTCGACGATTGTTCGAGTAATTGAGAAGTAGTTTTTACACCTCTTTTCGGGTGGCTCTTTACGTTAAAAAGTCTGATTTTTATACGGGGAGTGAATGAAAGAACAGGTGGTTCAAGTATCAGATTGTTACATATCGAATTTCCAAACACTTTGCGTCATCAAATCAGACACCTCTCAGCAGAAAAATCGCATTTTTAACATAAAGAGTGTCACCCGGAAAAGGTGTGAAAGGTATCGCTCGATTGCTCGAACAATCGTGCAAGTTTCGGTCTACATCAGCGAACTTTTCTGAAGTTTATAAGGGTGAACAGTGGACGAGTGGCAGGAGTTTCACGGGCGGGAACACTTGGTCTCCTCTTTACTTCCGTTTCAAAGGACAAATTCCGCCACGAATCATTGTAAAACACGAGAGAGAGCCTTGTAATTCCTGTGGACGATTTGTTCGCAGACGATTCAGAATGTCGCGTGCAAAATCGTGGCTCGAATAAAATTGCGCTAAAGTGCTGGCTCGCGCTGTTAAATCTCTCAGGCATGGATTAGACAGGTGAAGCAGGATTTTCAACGTATCGATCATCCTCGCAAACGAACCGCGCGAAATGTGAACTTTCCACGTTAATGATGCGCTTGAAAAGATCACTCGTCCCGTAACGAAACGAGATTATTCAAATCAGTTTATTATTTATGGCTACGCGAATGCATATACGCGACTCCTCGTTGTTTCATAACACACCAGATTCAGATCCATTGTACGTTTCGCGATAACTGATTGCGTGAAAATGTTGAAACGATGTTAACGCAAACGATGGAAAAATAAATCGTTTCGCTGATGTCAAATATAATTTCACGTTTTTCCCACGGGAATAATGGGAACCGGGTGCGGTATATTCGGTGAATGCAAGCTTTTGCCTGCGAAACGCGGTATATCGAATGTAATTTGTGCAAAAATTGTGAATTTTTTTCGAGCATGCGATTTTTCCTTTTATTTTTCGAATTAGTTGCGTCTATACAGGATGTTTCTAGATTAAACAATCAAATTGTGTCAGTAATTTCTAATCATTCCATGGGACCACGTTTACAACGCGTTAATATTCACAATTACTTGGAAAATTAATTAATTAAGAGGGCGTGGATATTGTATTTTGTAGAGAATTTTTAAGAGCACCGTCACGTTTATTCTGTTGTTTATCAGACTAGAAATGCACCGAGTGCTTAATTCGATTTTTCAACGGTGTCGGAGTTGCGTCGAGTAAATGGTAGTCGACGTTTTGAATTGCAAAAACTTTTTGAAAACCTAGGTTTATATCACATTTTATCTTACACTTTTTATGCAACTGACATAATTTGTTAGTTTCATTTGAAAACATCTTATATACACATATGAGCCTGGGAGAATGGTCGAGGATGCTTTTAGGAGATTAATCACATCCGAAAAGGGTTTCCACATTTTACTGGTACATATGTACTTAAGTGTGTCTGTGTTGGTGTGTACGTATCATATGTATTTTATCATTTCTTTCTCACATTTCACTTGAGATAGACGCACGAAATTTTAAATGGAAATTTAACCCCGATGGTCCACGTGGAAATATAGTCAACCCTCCATCGTCCAGATTTTCTGTATTTACAAACAGTAATTCGTTTCGAAACACAATATCGATGTTCTATCACTTTATAAAAAATAAACACGTTACATTAACAGTGGTGCACTAAGAATAATGAGGGAAAGGATTCATTACGTCAGTTGTATAGAGGGTTAAAAATCGTCCCGACAATTATCCAGTTGAATAAACAAGACCGGTGGCTTAATCGAGTCGCTCGTTTATCGCTGAACAAAAGCGTGGAAGAATGAGAACTGGATTAAATTTCGACTTAACCCCCGCAGTTAGAGAGATCCGAAACGCGTTTCTCGCGCGTGTACGTTCGAGGCTGGTGATCTCCGAGCGTTAGCCTCGCTCGGAGATCGCGAAATTGAATGAGAACCCCGCGACGTGGACCTCGGCTAATCCACGTGAAACGGGGAAATGCAAAATATGGAAATCAGAGACGCGGCAGACTTTCGGCCTGAAAATAATTAAAACGATTCTCCGCGGATGGTGGTTTACGCTGTGCGAAAAGCTGGTCGCGAGTTTTCGGTCGAAAAGCAACGAATGAATTCCACCTGGATATGCAAATTTTACATCATTCTCTGCTTTTCAATTCCGATGAATGTATATGGAGAAGTAGAAAAGAAGAAAAAAAAATGAAAAGGGTGTTAAACATTTGGAAAATTGCGATGAATACAGAGAGGCGGGAAATTTCGTGCGTCTTATCGAAAGAGATTCATTTTGTTTTACATTTCATTGCGAAGGATAAGGACGATCGTTTCGATAAATTTCTTTCTTTCTTTTTTTTTAATTTAATCATTCACACGATACTCCACACGCTTTTATTCAATACACGTACACGAACGGCTTCTGTTTTTTCTTTGTTCATTGATTTATTTTAATATTTACACACTCAAGCGGCAGGCTCACATGAACGCTCGATGGTCCACGCTTTCTAGAATTTCAATCGGATCGTTTTCCTCTCTCCTTCTATTTCTGGTTTACATTTCTGTTTGTGTTTAACTTGTTAGCTTTCACGAGCGATTTCCAGAGCTTTTGTATTTTTCCCCCCTTTTCAACTGTATTAAATTCGTGATCACTGACGAACTGTACCGCTTTCCTTGGTTAAACCGTTCGATCCGAAGCACCTAATTAATCGTCACACTCGCTGTTCGTATACATACTTCGAGGAATAATAAAACGATAAAACTTCATCGTTCTCCGCTGTTTCAAAATGTTAATCAGGAAAATTGAAGTAAGGAGGGCAGTATAGCGAACGCGATAATAACAATTTGTATCCGTTCTCGCTATGTTCTCGCATGAATTTAATTAACATCCGGAATATCGATGAAAACATTTTTCCTATAATTTAAGGTACGCATTTGTCGCATGATATCCAGGGTAATATACGATCTAATGAAATATTTTCCCAAGAATTTCTGACAAATTTACGAGACCGAAATGTTCGATCAGCGTTCCGATATTAAAGATACGATACACAAGATATAGACGCGAATGCGTTAGAAATATTTCGTATCGTTTCTGTAGCGATGGCAACGAAAGTCGGATATAAATTAAAAGGGAAATCTGTCGAATTAAATCGGATACGAAGTGCTGTCCAAAAATTTCAACCAGCACGACATCGGTTTTAATCTAATAAATTCACCGGAGAGGGAAAGTCTGTGCGCGATCTAGGTCATGGAATTCGAGCTCTCCTGTATTGCTATACTTGTAAATCACAACCAATGGAGTATTAGTTTAATAACTAGATGTGTATATATATATATAATATATTTATATGTATATGTTATACGTATCTAGCGTAGTGTTTCTCTCGATCGGGCGACCAGGCCCAATTATAGAATAATTTCATATTTATACACAGGGTGTTTTTAGAAAAAATTGTACACCATGAAAATTAGATTTCTCAATGGAATACAATCTTTTTTCGGACAACCTGTATAATATCGTCGTACCGTTTCGTGGATCGAGGTGCAGTTGCTCGTTGACCAAAGTAAATGAAAAATTAATGATTAATTTCCTGATGTGATTATGAAGATACAAAAATAGATTAAAAAATATCTGATCAATGGTATCAATGATATGGAAGTTCAGTAAGGAATGTATAGAGAGAAAGATATTTTGAATAAAAGAAAGGGGTGAATATGAACACCCTGCGTTTCGATCCCCGAAACTAATCTTGAAAATCAACCTGCGGATACGGATGTACAAGTAAATGTAATGTATTAATGTAATATATAACGCAGTACAATAATATAACTACCGAGATTCCCATCCAAAAGGATTACCGAGAACACTTTGCGACCCCGACGTTTTCAAAACGAAGAGAGAATACTATTGTTTAAGGTGCGGATCGTGTAAATCCCAGAAAGTAATTAGACCCTACAAACGGTCGCGTTAGAGCGTCAGGGGACGGTTTCGCATTCTAATGGCCGACGAAACATACGGTGCACCGGCTCGAATTAGCCGAAATGTAAGGTAAAGCCGTTCTTGTTCCGGTCGTTTCGTGGCCAGAATAGTTTCGTGAGACACGAAACAGTTGGAAAATCAAACGATAAAAGAAGTGGAACAGACATCGAGCGATTTGAAATTCTACTCTGACACAGCTATTCATTTGCATCCCGGTTAATGAGTACTTTCAATTACTTCAAATACATTGTAAAACATAATAAAATAGTCGTTGATTAACCGTAATCTATAAAAATTTGCGAAAGTACAGAGTACCCGTCGTTAACAGCCCGATTACTAGGCAGCGAGTAGTACGAGTCAGGCATTAGTCAGACCTGCCAGTAGCAGAAGCGAAGCGAGTGAAATGCGGGCTATTGTGAATTGTCAGGACAATTTCCGGTTAATACATGAAGGCATCGTTTAAAAAACTTTCTAATTGCTTTGCAACGTGTAATTGTTTTCGGTTCCTTCGAGCTTGTTCGTGACAACTTGTGAAACCATCGGTGAAACGTTTTCTTTTCGAAGAACATAAAACGCGATTTCCGGGAAGAAACTTTGGATATTCTTTCTTATCGTACCGAAAATATATCTGTCATGTTGTTCGAAAATTCGGGAGTTTGGAAGATTCGACGCTATGGGACGCGAATCTAATCCAAAGTTAACCGAAATTTGGGAATATTTCGGAGTTGGCTATAGGAAGTTTGCAGAATATTTTGGGGCGGAAGTCGGATCGACGAAACGAAATATTTGTGTGTACACAGCGATATCTGAAGAATTTCTTGACTCTCGGTCTAATCGAAGTTTTAATTAGGTAGATAATTAGCAAGCAATGTCTCAAGAATGCGCTAATTGCCCGAGCTGAGATTCATTCTAATTACTTTTCACGCCTATATTAGCAAATTTCAGCAAGTTTCAAATCAATTTCCTACTGATGCTATTCAAACTTGGTTGAAAATTTATTTCCGACCAGTATTTTGGCACGCTTCTACCGTTCTTCCGCGAGGAGAAAATAAAATCAAAAGGGAAAATATCCTGGAATACATAGTTTCAATGCGGGTATCCAGCATTGATTGCGAGTTTTTTTCTAAAAGCACGTACGTCCATAGGGGTATACGTGTGATTGAAATTTCATATCGTCAAAAGAAACATGAAATAAATGAAAATTGAAAGACTGATATAAAAGGATATTCCAAACGTCTGTGCAACTTGCATGAAATAGTATCTCCTTTGGTGAACATAAAAAAAATATTGAACAGTTGCTTTGAAGTATCTCGCGTATCAAAGCGAAAAAGGAGAAACCCTTTAATCGTTGATTACTTAGGACGATCGTTCGCTAACTGGATCTATACGATCTAAATGGAAAGTATAAAATTTGCAATAAACGTTTTACCCGAGCTCTTGTTTTACGACCACTTTGGAAGAATGTAAAGTCCAGCTTCAATTTCAGCCTGGTACTCCGTAATATTCACTGTCACCTTAACTCTCTATGTATAGAGAGAAAGAAGGGGCTTATTATACGGTTCTACTAAATAAAAGAAAGAAGTTATTTAGCGCGAAACTAGTAAAAACCAATCCTTCAGTCTGCAACTACATAATTTTAAAATGAAATTAAATAAATTTCAAATAAATTTTTCGATACAAACGAATAATTACTCTTTTCTGTAAAAGGAAAAAGATAAAAAGAGACACTTGAAAGTTACATGACCACGTAAAGAGTTAATACAGTTTGCTATTGTAAATGGGTACGTAGAGGGAATAAATTTTTCTCTGAAAGACGAACAAGAGAATAAAACGGTAAGAACGTTGGCGAGTAAAGATAAAAAGGTAGGAAAATTTCTCGCGAAATTTTTCAGCAAAAGAATTAAAGAAACGTTGAGAAACTCGAGGTCGGCTTTAACGTCCAGTTAAAACTATTCAAGCGTCCCGTTTAATTCCCAGTTGGATAGGAAACTCGGTGTCGCGAGTTGGACAGTGCCACGAATAAAGTAAGGTTTCATTTGTCTATCCTAATAATTAAAAATCTTGTGTTGTTCGTAGCACGGCTACGAACGTGTTCTCACAACCTTATCACAACCTTATTATAGAGTGCCCTGGTGACGAGGTCGAGTATCAATATTAGCTTCTCCGTTCACAGTGTCCTAGGGTTAACATCTCTCCCCCTTTTTTTCCCTAGTTTTTCTATTTTTCATATATATATATTTCTTTTTATTCGATTTGGCGTGGCACTCGAGGGGACGGCAAACGCGTCACCTATTCCCTCGTTGATCGGTAACGATTCGTTTAAATTTTCCGAACTCGCGCTTCAATCGTCCATCGATAGGAATAAAAAACCAACGATACGCGATTGTTTTCGATATTCAGTTACCAGTATGGATTCGTTGCCATTCGTCTCGTTATTCGACGGCTGAGTGATTAAAATTTGTTCACGATTTTTGTCTCGATTATTCGCCGATTGATCGTAAGCTTTCAGACCCACATTTTGTCGAACGTTGAAACGCGAGGAACGTTATTTCTTTTTTTTTTTTACTTTTCAAGTAGAATGACTGCATTCTGTGCACGATTCGTGTCGGTCTAACTGAGTGTCGATGAAACGAACACTGGAGGCGACTTAAAATGTAATTTTATACAGAGACATGCACACGTTCGCATGTCGAGGATCTTTCTCCCTTTGTGTACGTGTAGCTGTGTGTTCGTGTTTACAGATTCGTCGTATTCTCTTTGTTATTTAAATATTCACAACCATAATGCTTGCGATTTGATAACGAACGGGGTAGGTAGCGTACGTTTAAGAATACGCCTCTCGCTCGTTACCGTTGCTAGAACGAAACTAACAAAACGAATTGCTCCTAGGAAAATGAACGTTCTCTCGAGGAATCTTTGAACTCGACCGCCCTATAATTTCCACGGAAAATTAAGGGACAATCAACGTGGTTGTCGATTGATCTGAAGGATCCATTAACGACTAATCGCGCGAATGGAAGAGTCGGATTGAAGTCTAATGAATCGAGCTAAATTATCGCGCGAAAACAGCGAAATACTGTTCGTTCAAAGAGGTCGATTTCGACGTTCAAAATTGGGTCGATTCAATTACAGGGATTATCGATTCCGAGTTTCTATTATTTATATAAACGCGTTAGAAATTAAGCAAAATTATTGCGCGAAATTAGTGAAACGCGGATAGTTCAGTTGCAATTTGTATATTCAAAATCCGGGTTGATTTGGTTACAGGATAAATCGTATCCAGTTCTGCGAAAGCAGAATTTCATATTTTATAATACTAATTGTATAAAATTAACGAATCGTTGGTACCTTTCTGACGATACAGACGGAAGCATTAGAGATAATTTTATTGCGTGAAATTAACAGAGTGCTGATATTTCGGAAACGTTGATTCTCAAAGAGAGAACCTTGACTCGATTGCCCAAGGGATTCCCACCGATTTCCAATTCGTTATCTCTGCGGCCATGAAATCAAGGCATTTAACTGGCACTCCGACCTGAAGGTTCTTTGAAGGAAGAAAGGAAGGTTGAACATCAAGGAAACTGACGGTCGACATCAAACAAAACGTTCTTTCACGAACGCTACTCGAGAGAACGATCATTGGCTATCCCGAAGGAGGGTAACCGTTCTCTATTGTTCCACGAGAAAATCCCCGCTCGTTTCCTGTCATTAAGAGAGCAGAAAACGTCTTCCATCCACCTATGTCACGGTCTTAAATAGCTGCGATACAAGTACGGGTGCGCATACCATCTAAAGGATACGGTAATCTATCATCTAAAACGTCTTAACAGGAGTCTTGGTCGATTTTCGTAGAAAATTCCTATCCGTAAACGTGTGAATTGCTCTGCTTTCATTTAAATTGCTGGCCAGAAGAATCGTGTTGCCCTTTCGGCCGATCGTTCCATCATTCATCCATTTCTTTTTTTTTTTTCACCCCCTTTCCCATGAAATATCGAGCTCTTTCGATTCCTTGCGAACCGGAAAGCGATTCACTGTATTCGCAAGTTTCCGGTTCACGACGATATAATGGAGGAGGGAAAAAAGCCTGGAACGAGGAAACTCGAAAGTATTTCCACCGATCAAATATCACCGAGGTGATATTTGAATTCTCCTTTCGACGCGAGAACACTATTTCCACGAACGTTCTTTGGAAAATGGAACGATCGACTCGATGCCAAACCCCGAACAACTTTTCCAATATGATATATACACCACCCGTCAAAAGTATGGGATCATCTCACCAATAAAATTCAAATTCTATTCACGACCTCTTGAGCCGCGAAACATTTTAATGCACGAATAGGCAAATCAGAAAGATTAATTGCAAAATAAAAAATATATGAAACAACAACGTGCCATTATAATTCTATCCATGTCCTTAAACTTGCAAATAAGAAATTGAACATATTTTTTCTAACTTACGTTATGGAAAGTAATTCTGAATAAAATGGTCCCTGTTTTTGACCGGCACTGTACACCACGTCTAAGCCTCTCGTTTCGAATTCAAGGCATCGAAGATCGTTTCTCCTTTCATTACGCACGATCGAATTCTAGAAGACCTAAGGATTACGTTTTCACGCGAGAGTACGTCGTGATCTTAAAAGTTGCATTTCGATAGCAGTGGATTTGATGCCGCGACAGCGGAAAATCAGAACTCTCGTCAGATATCGCGTGAAAGCGTAGTCTAAGAGGTAACCGGTGTTAATCGTCGATGGAAAGAAAGGTAGACCCGTGTTTCTCGTGACCGAGAGAATTGAGAAGACGGGGGGAACGATCCGAACGGCGAACGTCGACAATCTAACCTGGTGACTTCGTTTCGTTTCTCAAGATCCCTTATCCGCGTCCTTGTTTCCTTCGCTAACCCAGGCCACGATTAATGGGACAACTTTAAACGGAACGACCTTCGCCGTTGTACACGCGCCCTGCGAGAACTCTAGCGCGAAATTAGACTATCGTGTTCACTGTGTTTCACAGCACTTAATCTCTAACCACGATTTCGATACTCGTAGCCAGCCTCGTATTCGTTATCCTTCCGGAAAAGGTTACATGGGGATTAACCGTTCGAAATTACACGCACGCACACTTCATACACACTTCCGATTGATCATCATCCCCTATCGTCGTCGTTGATATTATATTTACAGAATTCTCGACCGAGCATGGGACACACTCGGCGAAGCTCGTTCGATTAAAGTTTCTTTAATATCCTCCAGCTCGAGTCGTTTCATTTTTTTACAAACTCGAGATCCATCCGGTGTCCTGGGATCGAGACGATCCTCGAAATTAGTACGACTTCCGTGTGTTATCATCGAAAACATTCGAACACCCTTCCTCGAGCAATTCCGATCGAACCGAATAACCATCTCGACGCCTCACGGCGAATGGAAACGGAAAGGAGAAACCGAGGAGCAGCGTTTCCCACGAATTCGGAATGATATCAGCCACCCGGCTTCCTTATTTTCAACGTATACGCAGCAACCTTCTGAAAGCCCTCCTGTAGTCGAGATTGAAGATCGTGTAGATGAGCGGGTTCAAGGCGCTGTTCACGTAACCGAGCCACGTGATGAAGTAGACCATTCGATCGGAGGGGCAACAGGCTGGACAGAACGGCACGATTACGTACATGAGGAAAAAGGGTAGCCAACAAACGACGAACACGCCCATGATCACTCCGAGTGTCCTCGCGGCGCGTCTCTCCTTCGACAAAGAGATCCTTTGTCGTTCCTCGATGAACTGGTAGACGGTTGTGGTGGTGGCTGCGGTTCCTCGACCGCTCGCGGCACGTCTCGAGGAGGTGGTAACCGTGGCACCACCTCCTATCGTTACCTCGGTCGGTTCGTCGTCGATCAACGAGGGTTTCGCGTGCGATCGCGGCGTCGATCTTTCGTTATGATTCGTCTCGGAACTTACGGATTCCTCGGCGTCGTCCACCTCGCGATGCCTGGTGGATTGGACCGTGTTCAGTCCGCTCTGTCTGGCACGTTCGCGAAGTCTTCTTCTGGTAGCCAAGAAGATCTCTAGGTACACCAGACTCATCAATAGCAACGGTATGAAGAAAGATCCTAACGAGGAATAAATAACATAGCCTTGCCTTCTGGTCAACTGGCAAGGTGTTCCCGGTTCCAATTCCTCCGGCCAATCGTTCCAACCGGCCAAAGGTGGCGAACTGATCGCTCCAGACAGTATCCAGACTCCAGCTATCGTCGCCAGGACCCTCTTCAACGTGCGTTTCTGAGCGTAATTGATCGGATCGGTGATCGCCCAATAACGATCCAAAGCGATCGCGCAGAGATTCAAGATGCTGGCAGTGCAACAGAGCACGTCGCAGGTCAACCAGAGTTTGCAGAGATGTATACCGAAGATCCATTTGCCCAGAAGTAAATAAGCGACGTTGAACGGCATCACCAAAATGGCAACCGCCAAATCGGCCACGGCCAACGACACGATAAAGAAGTTCTGCACGATCCGCAGCGGTCTGTAGGTGAACACGCTCAGGATCACCAACGCGTTACCCAACACCGTGGCCAGGACGAGGAAACCGAGTGTCAGAGATGCTGCCGCGGCTTCCCAGACCGGCAAGTTTGAACCTGTTTCCTCTTCCGGTGGACCGCAGCCTGTTACCTCGTAGTCCTCGGTCATCGTGCCGCCCGATTCGCTGCCCGAATTCATGTTGTCCAGGCTGGACCCTGAAACAATAGCAGCTCGTTAGCGAAGGGATCTTGAATCGATCTGATTAATCGAACGTCGATTAATTTCACGTAAACCGGTCACCGCTAACGCGCTTAGTTTTCCTTAGGGAAAAAGGGGATGTAGAGGAAGGAATCGGTACTCTATTCAACACTCCAGAGTTACCGTGTACCAAAACTCGATTTAGTATTCCGTAATGCCAACTAAAGTTTGGAAAATACTCGTAGTTAAAAAAAAAAAAAAATAACTCGAAACGAGAAGTGGTTGATTGCGAAAAAGATCGAAATTCAGTGTCGAGTTTTAAAACGATCGTTTGATTCGAGAGACTGCATATAGAATAAGGGGGAAAAGTCAGCGACGAATTTAAGTACCACGTAAATCCCGGCAGCATGTTCCGCTTTTACCGAGTCCCTCTTCATCCTCATCCACTTGTTTTATCCCTCGACGCGATGCAGGATTTTACACGCGATGGGTCAAAGCTATTTGACGCGGTACCAAGATAATCCTTGATCAACGATATCAGAACGCGGCTGATAACACCCGTAAATCTCTAACTCGCTCCTATATCCTAGTCAATTTTCTGTTATCGCCCTGCGTTACGTTTAAAAGGTTTTCCTTTTTCCTTTTTTAAACTGTTCCATTTAACCGGATGAAATGTTTCTTCAATTTTTTTCAAGTTACAATACAGTGTACACTATAAATAAAGTTTTCAAACATAATTCTATTAATAATGTTGCGTGTTCCAGGAAATATAGGTCGTCAAAGTGTTAACTACAGCCGGACATTAGTCTCCGTGCTCATTCCATAATGAACGACTATAATCAACGTTAGCAGCGAAAGGATTAAAGAAGACAAACGTTCGTTAACGGTAGGAATAATCCTAGCCGGAGAAGTGATTAACTCGGAAAACCAAACAGCAAGACCGCAAAATAACGCGAACAGAAGAAGAGAAAACGGGAATTTAACCCGTAGAATTGTTCTCAGTGGATGCGCTGTTGGAATAATCAGATTTAATTCAAAAACAAAAGGATTGAAAAGGGACGATTGCAGGTACGGTGTTTAAGGGCTGAGGATTAAACGGCAGTCGGCCTTGTTTCAACGTACGGCTATTTCCTGCGACTTCGCCGTTACAACGAGCTTTCCACGAAATTCCCAACCACCATATCGAGACACTTGGTCTCTCTGTTTATAGGACGGAAATTCCGTGGCAATTCGACGGGACTACCGCCCGATAAACTATTTCTATACCGCTTTACACGCCTTTACCTTACTATGCAATCTCTGGTCGCGCGATATTTGACCGCGGGTCATTATAAATTTAAATTAACAACGCGGAACGATAGGAATTTTTGAATAAAATGCTCGACCACCTCGTGCTGACTCGTTGCTCCGTGTTCTTCCGTGAGAGAAAAAGAGGAAATTAAAAAAGGAATTCTTGAGCGAATAACGTGCCACTAGGCGCGTTGCTGTTCCAGGGAATCGAATTGAAACGGAAACGGCTTTCGTGTTTTAAGCAATCTTGCTACGTATCAGAATATAATTCCTTGGAAAAGCTGTTGAACGATGTGAAATTTTTATTTCCTTTGTTTGCCGGCTGATTTTTCTGCTGTTAGCAATCTTGCCCGTCTGGAAACCTAGTTCCATGGAAAACTGATGGATAACGTTAAAATTCTCCAAGTAATTTTCTTCGAACTTAAATATTCACTAATTGCATTCTGCTATCGTATATTTTAAATCCTGATCTGTTTCGTGATACCAGCGAATCTTTGTTAATAATGATCTAAATGGGAACGCGGGGATGTGGTCATCCATTTGTTCAAACTAGGAAAATTCGTTCCGACATTAAGATCGAGGATACGATATTACGGAAAACGTTAATGGTTCTGTTACAATTCGATCGATATTTAAGGCGGAGATTTATTTTGTACCCATCTTGTTTCCTCGTTAAAATACACTTATGATCATAATAAATAAAATAAAAAATATTAAATGGAAACGCGTATTGTTCGATATAGAATATCTGAAATTTTCATCAATATTTGTATGTCCTGAATAAATTTCACCTGGTGGTTATGTAACGCGTTTGCGATCATTATCAGATTAAAAATGAACATGTAACCAATTGTACGTTTTAATCATTAGCAAATTCATGCATACGTGAAAATCGTAGGTGTGAAACTTTGATACCTCGAGTATTTTTCGATTTTACCTATTCATGGAATTTTCTTTTGATTTATAACAGTATTACAAAGTGCCTTATGTTTCCCTAAGCATTTCTATTACGTTCCTATGTAGTACCCCTCTTCAATTTATGGTAGAGTGCAATACAAGCTTTGTAACACGGTACTTGTGAATAAAACATTTTTATTTCTTACGTTATTTCCCCGAGAAACACATCATACACGCTATTATCAGAAGTACCGTGAAGTTCACATTTCTCTAAGTGTTCCTGTTACCATTCTGCATAGAATTTTCATTCGATGTATAATAAAATCGTTGTAACATACAGACATTGTAACGCTTTGCTAGCGAATAAAATATCTTTTATTTCTTACGATGCCTTGTGAATTCTACCCTTTTCCCTCGCTTGTAGAAACAAGCGTGAAAGAAACACAGTTATTCCATCCGTGTTTCGCCGATAGAAAAGCAGACAGTGTTGGAGGAAAGCGAACGCGGGTAGAGCATCGTTCGTACGGAAGCGCGAACTAGCATGGATAAAGAAATTCGTTTTTCTCGCTTCTCCCGGCACCATCCGTGGAGTTCGAACGGATAAGAGAAAACGGATAGAACGGGAAACGTCGTTCTTGTTTCCCGGAATCAATGATCCAGGGGAAAAAGCGACGCTTCGCAGACGGAACGTACAAGGAATTCGAATTCAACGAGCTCTTTATCCCAAAATCGTTTGCTCCTCGAGTACGAGACGAAGGAAAGGAGGATGGGCGAATACGGTACCATTATCGAGGCGAACTCGTACTCGAACGGTAAGGTACAAGTTTGCGTTTGAGGATCTCCGAGCTGTGGCACACCATTAGCGAACTTCTCCCTTCCCGATTCGTCCGGAAATGTCAATCGATTCAAGACGCTCGATTGACCTTTCACTTTCATGATGAATGTAAGAGAAGATTGCCATCTTTCATACACCAACCAGGTTCATACATCTCGAATATCGTCGTTTAAATAACTACGAGAATCTAGAACGGATCTGTACATCGTACAACCTGGTCCATTCCATCGATATTCTATTTAATAAAAAGGTTTCACTATCCTAGCTGTACATTTGTACCATCCCTTGATAAAAGCTGTTCGACTGTCCTCTGAAACATACTCAGGGAAAAAGGTATCGAAAACCGTGCACTTTGCGTCGTTAACGCTTCGAAATCGTCTTCCAATCCCATTCACGTTCATTTAGAAAAAGCTAGCCAAAGGTACGGTGGCGTTTTTCCCAGCAAGAAATGAACCTCGAGGAAGTCCAAGTGCCGTGCAAACAAGACGGCGCGCCGTTTCGTTGTCCTCGTAATTTTTAATACCTTCCGCCCGCCTCTTCTGTCCTACCCTCGTTTTTCGACGAGTAAGATCGATTTTCCCGGAGACTAGACTTGCCTCGTCGAAGGACGGGAGTCGACTCCGTCGAACCGTTTTCCCGATCTGGTCGTCGGAGCTTGGACTCGCGTCTAATGGGATTGATTTAATTACATTTTCTTTTTTTTTTTTTTTTCAGAAATGGAATCGATTTGATTAATCCCGCCACGGATAAAATCAAATTTCCATATCGAACAGACGGATATCGACTGACTCGAGATTCTTATTTTTATTTTATTTAAACTTCCCTCGTTTATGGAAATGAAAGTTGGATAAAATGTTCCACCCTCGGATGTCGTAAAGGAGAGCTTTATTCTATAACGTTGGCAAACTTCCACAATGGGCTAGGTTAAACGCATTAACGAGATGTTGGTGGAAGTAATTAACCCTTTGCCTACGGTAGAACTAGACGCATAGCTGTTCCTTTATACACTAATAACTCTAATTAGTCTGTACAGTGCTACACGCTTCCCGCAATTACAGATTATACCCTGAACGCTAGTTGCGTTAATTCGCTGCGGCTAAGATTGAAAGATGATATCGTGGAAATTGTTCTCACAAATATTCGCATTGTATATCGTGTACACGGTGCGATTGTTGCAATGCTCATCCCTATCCTGGAGCAACGATGCGACTGATAGACTGATCAGACTTCGAACAGTGAGCAAACAATCGTTCCTGGTACGAGGGTGTGCAACGGATGGCACGAGGAGAAAAGGGGAAATAGAGAACTAAACGGAAAAATAAAACGATGAAGAGAATAGGGGAGGAAAAAGTGCACGACAGCACGTGAGATCAGGGACGTGGAAGAATCCGGGAGTAGAAAGGATTGAGCGAGAAGATCGGTGAGACACTGCGACTCGCAGCGAATACTAAGCATCCGTGAGCGTATCTCGTGCGAGTAACAATTGCTCGGCGATAAATCGCACGGAAACTCGTAGTCCCGTGAAAAACCAACGATCCACCGTGAATGCAACCTTTATCCACAATGCACTTTCACACGCGTAACAATTTATTTCTGTTGCACCCATCGCGCTCGGTACCATAGATTGCCAAGAGTTATCGGAAAGTGCAACCCGAATGCGCACGGACGTCTGGAAAATTGGTGAGCGTGTAACAATTCGTTGGTGATAAATCGTACTTAGTCAAGAGTTCTCTCGTTATCTAAGCACGCACGATCACGGAACAACTACCACCCCCTAAGTGCTTCGACCAAGAATCACTGTTTCGTGGATTAATTCTGGTACCGTAAAGTTCCGACAACTAGTTTCATTATGTCGCGTTTATTCTGACAGTGCGATCGTATCCTGAATAAGATATTTCCTGCTGCGTTCCTTGTCCCGTCAACCCCAGAATTTAGCGAACCCTTCCTAGATCAGGGATGGGTTGCTTCTATAGTCTTACGAGCTAATAACGCTCT